GAGGCAGAGTCATTCAGTCCAAGGTCAGGGGTCTAGAAGTCAGGCGAGGCAGAGTCATTCAGTCCAAGGTCAGGGGTCTAGAAGTCAGGCGAGGCAGAGTCATTCAGTCCAAGGTCAGGGGTCTAGAAGTCAGGCGAGGCAGAGTCATTCAGTCCAAGGTCAGGGGTCTAGAAGTCAGGCGAGGCAGAGTCATTCAGTCCAAGGTCAGGGGTCTAGAAGTCAGGCGAGGCAGAGTCATTCAGTCCAAGGTCAGGGGTCTAGAAGTCAGGCGAGGCAGAGTCATTCAGTCCAAGGTCAGGGGTCTAGAAGTCAGGCGAGGCAGAGTCATTCAGTCCAAGGTCAGGGGTCTAGAAGTCAGGCGAGGCAGAGTCATTCAGTCCAAGGTCAGGGGTCTAGAAGTCAGGCGAGGCAGAGTCATTCAGTCCAAGGTCAGGGGTCTAGAAGTCAGGCGAGGCAGAGTCATTCAGTCCAAGGTCAGGGGTCTAGAAGTCAGGCGAGGCAGAGTCATTCAGTCCAAGGTCAGGGGTCTAGAAGTCAGGCGAGGCAGAGTCATTCAGTCCAAGGTCAGGGGTCTAGAAGTCAGGCGAGGCAGAGTCATTCAGTCCAAGGTCAGGGGTCTAGAAGTCAGGCGAGGCAGAGTCATTCAGTCCAAGGTCAGGGGTCTAGAAGTCAGGCGAGGCAGAGTCATTCAGTCCAAGGTCAGGGGTCTAGAAGTCAGGCGAGGCAGAGTCATTCAGTCCAAGGTCAGGGGTCTAGAAGTCAGGCGAGGCAGAGTCATTCAGTCCAAGGTCAGGGGTCTAGAAGTCAGGCAAGGCAGAGTCGGTTTCTTAGCATCTATCATACTCGTTGAGTCCACGCCTAACAGCCTCTCTTGGCTGGGTTTTATAGCTCCATGCCTAAGGGTCATGCTTTCAGCCAGCTGCTTGGAAACAATCCTGCAACTACTCATCTTTGTTATCAGCAAGCAGGTGGCATCAAGCCAGGAGGCGTGCCCTTCGCCATCTTGTCGGTCAACTTCTGTTTAACTCAAGGCTGGCTACATGAGACTCCTCTTCTCTTGAGGAGTCCTTGCTGTCCCTGAGTCCTGGCTGATCCACAGCACCCATTGATTTCAATGGACTTGGAAGGCTGTTCCTCTGCTTAGGATTGCACTGGCAGTCACCCTACTACAATCCACCAAAGGCATCATCCATCACTGCAATGGACAGAAATATATATATATATTGCATTTATAGTTATTGTGGAGGATGAATATGTCATCACAGCAAATGGATTAACCAACCTTTCCTGATTCCGTACAGTTCCGATCTAGTCATTTATTAGGAAAGAATGAAAACGAAATTAAATGCGCCGTCATGTAAACATTTTCCTCGAATGACTGATTTAAAGCGGACGGTGTGGTTAGGTGGAAGGCACACAACTGATTCCCATTTGAGAACAGTGAGGGGCAAATAAGGTGCCAGCTCACAGCTGCTGTGCTGACCTGAATTTGTCCTATTTGAGGTATCAAAGGGAAACACAGAATAGTCTTTCTGTTTACAATGGATGCTTTAAAAAACTCGCACCGGGTGCCCAAACATCATCCTTTCTCTTACAGTTTTAATAGAATAGTCAGACCTGGAATGGTACAAAGGGGCAAAAAAGTAAGAGCAAAAAATATGTCTTTGAGTACAGAATCGGGACATCATTAGGACAATTAAAAGCAAGCAAATGCAGAAAGCTAAACAATTGTCCTAGTCATGTACATGTGTCTGGCAACAGGGCCTGGGCCAGACTAGCAGAGACCGCTTGCCTTGGCTGAAACAAACCATGCACAACCAGCAGCTCCAGTGGCCCAGCCAGGACGTGCACAGAACAGACAGGGCAGGTCTGCAGATTCTGGGTTCAGTAATCAAGCTTGGCAGCCAAGTGGAATCAGTCACACCACCAAGCCCTGACTGGGAAGAAAGGAACTACCTAGGAGGCAGCTGCAGCTGAAATGGGACTGCAGGACACTTCTGATTGGGTGGAGGGTTGGAGAGCAGGAGCAATCCGGGGGAGGGGATTGGATGGGTGGGCTATTTAAGGAGAATCTGCAGCAAACCACGGAGGAAGAGATAGCCCTGCTCAGGCAGCAGGTAAGAGCAGAGGATACAGAAAGGAGGAATAAGCTGGTACAACCCCCTCTCCTTTCCAGATCTTGAGATTTCACAGGTCCTGCACTGCAGGAAAGGTCATGACAGAGGAAGAATCACAACCTGAATTCTGCACGTAATGTTGAAATCCTCTGTCATTTTTGAGTGACAGAACTTAATGAAGTGTACACTTAATGTGCCAGACAAAGCAGCCATGGTAATATGTATGTCGTTTTGCTCTGGGGCTAGCAGTGCTGACCTAAGCAAAGTTACACGCTTCTGAGCCCATAGACTTTGATGGATTTTTTGTTGTTGTTCAGTCGCACAGTCGAGTCCGACTCTTCGCGACCCCATGGACCAGATCACGCCAGGCCCTCCTGTCTTCCACCGTCCTCTGAAGTTGGCTCAACTTCATGTTCGTTGCATCTATGACACTGTCTAACCATCTCATCCTTTGCCGTCCCCGTCTTCTTTGACCTTCAATCTTTCCCAGCATCAGGGTCTTCTCCAGTGAGTGCTCCCTTCTCATTTGGTGGCCAAAGTATTTGAGCTTCAGTTTCATTATCTGGCCTTCCAGGGAACAGTCGGGGTTGATTTCTTTTAGGATTGACTGATTTGATCTTCTTGCAGTCCAAGGGACTCTCAAGAATCTTCTCCAGCACCATAGTTCAAAAGAATCTATTCTTCGGCGCTCGGCCTTCCTTATAGTCCAACTCTCGCAGCCATACATGAGTACTGGGAATACCATTGCTTTGACCATGCGGACTTTTGTTGTCAGGGTGATGTCTCTACTTTTTATTATGCTGTCTAGGTTTGCCATCACTTTCCTCCCAAGGAGCAGGCGTCTTTTAATTTCATGGCTGCAGTCACCGTCTGCGGTGATCTGGGATCCCAGGAACGTGAAGTCTGTCACTACTTCCATGACTTCCCCTTCTATTTGCCAAGGAGTGATGGGGCCAATGGATTTAGAAGGGTGTAACTCTGCTTAGGGGGTCAGTGTGAACGTTGCCAGACATTCACTTTCTCATACCCCTTACTTGCCTCTTCAGATGACAGCTGTCTGTCAGCTGTCCCACAAAGATTACCTTGTGGAAGAAGCATTCACATCCTTGTGGCCAGTGATGGGAGCGTTCTGAAATGGGAATGTTTTTTCCAGAATGTTTTCTGATACCCTAAATAAAACCATGTTTATTGAGCTTTATATTCAGTCTTTGAAAAGCATTCTAAGTTAATGTTTTGTTCCAATCGCAGTGAAGACTTCAACTGAAATAGTTGATTAAGGAACAAAAATAAGTGTGGTTTAAACAGAGTTGCCAGGCCCCCACCAGGGGGTGGGGATCCCCCGCTCTGCCCCCCCCCCTCAGCACTGATTGGCTGGCTGCAGGGGTCTTACAGGCAGGAAAACTAGGCCTAGGCCTGTGCCGCTCTCACTGGTATTTGGGGTAAAAACTATGGTAAAAATGACTTCTACCTTAGAGGTTTTTCCCAAATGCCAGAGTGTCCCCATGTCACCAATGATGTGATGATGTCACTTCTGGTGTGCACCAAAAGTGGCATTGCCTGCGATGGAGGCCTAGGCCTAGTTTCCTTGCTGGTAAAACCCAACCCTGGTTCCCAAGGGGTACCTGACAACCCTTGGTTTAAAAGTCATATTCAAGCAAATGCAAAAGCTTTATGTGGAAATTATTTTTTATGGGAATAGTACTTTTAAAAAATTTAAGGCATTGAAGAAAAAACTCCTGAAGGCACTGAAAACTGCTGACCACTAATTATAGCACACCCAAATAATTTTTGTATTCTATGCCGGGGATGTGGTTGCCCACTCATCTGTTACAACAGAATTAACCAAGATCAATGTGGGCAGCCGTGTTGGTCTGAAGCAGTCGAAAAAAGTTAGAGTCCAGTGGCAACTTTAAGACAATGACGAAGTGTGCGTGCACATGAAAGTTCACACCGTAAATAAAACTGTGTTGGTCTTAAAGATGCCACTGGACTCCAACTTTGTTCAACAGAATTAACCTGTCATCCAAATAGGGTTGCCAAGTCGAAAATCGTCGGGAGCGGGGGACTCCCGTTCGGCATCCTATGTGCGCGCACACCGCACGCAGGTCACCAGGAAGTGACGTTATGACGCCGGGCACACTGGGGGCACGGCCATGACCATCCAAGGGGAAAACATAGAGTTTCCCCCTCGGATGGTCATGGCCCTGCCCCCAGCGTTCCTGGCGTCATAACGTCACTTCCTGGTGACGCGCACGCCGGGGTGGGGTTTCCCCCGGGGCCTGATCCGCCGACGGCGGGGAACGGGCCTCTGGGGCGGGGGTTTCCCTGCCCTCTGGGGGGACTTGGCAGCCCTACATCCTAGCAGGTCGCTGGAGCACCACATTACTTGATTTACTTGTTAGTTCCTTATTACATGGGTGTTTCCAATCCCCCTTCAGCGATACAAAAGGAAGTCTATAAATAAGAATCTTAGCTTTGCTTGTGATTAGATCTGCATAGCCGATTAGGAATTCATAATTCATATCGATCACATATTGCCAAGACAATTCCCCATCCTCATAGACGTGTTTCCCTTTGGCATGGAATGCTTCCTCCTTGCAGTTGTAATTCATCCCTTCACCACTGGAAGGACCAAGATGACAAATGTTCCCATCTTGGTTCAAAGCCCCAAGTCCCGCCCTCACCCCAGCTTCCTGGAATCTTCCTTGCTTTAGATCTTGATTCCCTCGCAATCTTGACACTTAACACTGAAACAGCATTTTTAACACGATGTTCACGTTGGATGCAAATGCTGTTCTAGTCCTCCAGATCACCTCCCCAACCCTTAAATGGTAATCTCTCGCACACCACGTCATAAATTGAAGAATACTGATTCTCTTTCAGATTTTTGCCTGATTACATCAGTGGAGATTTCGACTCTATTAGGCCTGAAGTAAAGGAATATTACAAGGGGCAGGTAAGTTCATTTGTTTTCTTTTGTTTTTTTTAAATGTCAACACTTCTGAGAAAGTATTTTATTTATTTATGTATTTATTTCATTAGACTTATAACCCACCTTCTCCACACTGTAGGACAGTACCAACATATATGTCTGCAATTAATGCAGATTTGGAGCTACGGTGGCTCAAGTGGTTAAGATGCTGAACTGCAGGCTGTGGAAGGTCGGTAGTTCAGCAGTTCGAGACCCGAGTATGCCGCATGAAGGAGTGAGCTCCCGTCTCTAGTTCCAGCTCCTGCCAACCTAGCAGTTCGAAAGCAAGAAATTGCAAGTAGATAAATAGGTACCGCTTTGGTGGGAAGGTAACAGCGTTCCGTGCGCCTTGGTGTTTAGTCATGCCGGCCACATGACCACGGAAACGTCTTCGGACAGCGCTGGCTCTTCGGCTTTGAAACGGAGATGAGCACCGCAACCCTAGAGTCGGACTCGACTGGCTTTCGAGCAAGGGAACCTTTACCTTTACTAATGCGGATTTACCAAATTAAAACATACCTTTAAACTTTTACTTTGGTCCCTTGTTGGTTAGAATATTGGAAAAATAACGTAACACTTTATATGGAAGTGGTTTTCAAATGCTGTTCTAGGGAAGCTCCAGCAGGTGCTTAGTGTAATGATGGAACAGATGGGCTAATGTTTCGTGGTATGACTGCTCAAGAGTAAACACCTCCAGCACACCTATGCACATAGGCCAAACTATGTATCTGAAGACCAATCTGTACAAGTAGTAGGTGAGATGGTAAAAACATTCCTGGACTATCCCATTTCAGATGAGGAACCACATGACTGTATGCATTCCCAGTAGCGACAAAACAAGATGTCAGGGAGACAGGTTGTTGCCCGGACATGTTCTCTAGCATGGTATTTTGAAATATGTCATGATTTTGCTTTTTGCTGGAGGGAGCATTCAAGCATGGGGTCTACCACAGACAGTTTTCTTGCATCAAGCATTGTACAGACCAGGTCTGGGGAATACCCAGAACCAAAAACTGGTGCTTGGAAGTGGAACCAAGGTGCCTTTTCTTGCATGTGATGCTAAATATGTTTAGTTTAGATAACAGAAGAGTCTTAGGTTTTTACATGTCCAAATAAAATTAATTTGAATGTTTGATTCCTCTTATCTGTGTTTGTTATTTCCCATTAGTCAAAGGAATAGGTTGCCTGTACGCTTAAATGACTAAATACAACTTTAAGTGTTTATGCCTCAGACTTTTGGATTTTGTTTATGCCAGCAACTTTCCTGACATAAACCAAAATTGATGCAGAGTGCAGCCGCCCCGTTTCAATCGCTCCCATCATGTCACCAACTGTCAGCTGGATGCAAGTTGCGCTCACAAAACACGCATAACCTTGGATTTGCACATTAGAAGGTTCCCGATGGCAGTTTTCAAAACGGAGCCAGAAATAACTTCGTCACGTTCCGGGGTGGGGATTGGCAATGTAAAGAGAATTGCTAAGTCTGAATTTGCACTATCCCGTATTCACATTTTGAAAAGGCGAATAAATAAGCCGCTAGCCCGCCAAATCCCTTTTGTCCCGCTGAGCAGATCCTATGTAAATCAGACACTTAAAATGTCTACGGCTCCCCAAGAAACGCAGAGGATCACAAAACTGTAGTGTTGGAAAGGGTTTCACATTTTGCTTCCAGTGTTCAGGTCGACTTTTTGAGGGACGTCCATCTGTGCCAGCACTGGCTCTGTGATCTGGAGGCTTCATTCATTTGTTTCTGGTATTTCCATTCTGCTTTCTGGACAACTTGTCCTCCAAAATGGCTGACACCAGTAAAGAGAGGAAAGCCTCGTTCCCAGGCTTTGCAGACCTTGAGCTGATTGGAGAATAGGGTGGTAGAATGCTGATGTGGCGGAGTGAGCTGTAGCACTTCTGACTGTGGGTGGAGAATCGGGGGGGGGGGCGAGGGTCACATCTTGGCATGGCAGACCCTCCTTTCAAATAGGAAACCAGCGCAGTAAACAGAGAGAGGGAGTAAAAGCTTTCTCCCTGGTGAGTTTGTTTTCTATTTTCATTGAGACCTTTTAGTGTGAAGGAACAGGGCTATTTTGGGGCAGGAACGCACAGGAACGGAGTTCCGGCTGGCTCCCAAGTTGGCCACGCCCAGCAGAAACTCATTAGCATAATAGGCCACACCCAACAGCAGAAACTCATTAGGATTGGCTACAGTAGGCATGTGTGGCCTAACATGCAAAGGAGTTCCTGCTACAAAAAAACAACAAACAAGGTGAATAGAATAAGAAGCAAAAGGTGGATGTGGCTGGATGACCACACTTCTGGTAACATGAGGGTGCAACCTAATGAGCTGTGCTGTCGGGGTGTGGCCTAATATGCTAATGAGTTTCTGTGCTGGGTGTGGCCTATTATGCTATTGAGTTCCTGCTGGGCTTTTTCTACAAAAAGAGCCCTGTAGAAGGAACATTCCCAACTGGAATCTTTCCGGCTGGTCTTCCCTCGTTGGTGTTCTTGCTTGGATGGAAGTGCGCTGGTATGTGAGGACAGAGCGCCAGAATCACAATGGCTGGGCAGGCTTTGGGTCCCTATTGCATATTCAGCTCGGGTGTTGTGCTCCAGCATCCACTGTAACTGCCGTGTGGCAAGGTATCCTGGGACACACCACTCAGGCCAGAGGGCCCTTCGTATCACTGCTCCCCAACCAACTGCTTTCCTTGCTTCTGTAGCTGGGACAGCCTATCCAAGCAGTTAAAGTGTGAAATCAATTTGCAGCCAACAGTTATTCCAATAGAAATTGCTACTTACAGACATCTTGGCATGTGGTTTATTTGGATATTTATACCCCACTTTTCTCCCCAGTGGGGAACCACAGTGGCTTACCACAGTCTCTTCTCCTCTACTTTACAACAACCCTGTGAGGTAGGTTAGGCTGAGAGAGCGTGACTGGCCCAAAGTCACCCAGCGAGCTTCTGTGGCACGACTGAGGATTCGTTCCCCTGGGCCTCCCAGATTCTCGTCCGACACTCTAACCACTATCCTGTGCTGGCTGTCTAATGTACATGTCACTAACATACACGTTAGATTTAAACGTTTGCAAAACAAACAAAAAGCTGAGCAAATGCGATTAGCCAACTGGAAATGCCTTTTTATTCCATTGCAGGTTCAGATCCAGTATTCTTATGCAAATTGATTGACCTGGATCATAAATGGTTGGATAACTGGGCTGGTACTTGTTCAGTGGTTGCTGTGGCATATACGCAAAAAAAAAAAAAAAAAAAGGCCAGTAGCACCTTAAAGACAAGGGATAAGTTTTTGTGAGTCACTGTGGCTCATCCCCTTCCACAAATTTTGTTAGTCTTTAAGGTGCTACTAGACTCTTGCTCTTTACTACCGCTACAAGCTGACAAACACGGCTACACATCTTGATCTGTATACTAGAAAAGAGTGGAATGTTAGTTAAGTAATTGTAAGCGATTAGTTTGCACCAAGAAGTAATAGAAAAATAGCATTGCTTCTGTCTGTGAAACCATGGGCGATTTCTCACTAGAGCTGCCTCGCAGCACAGCGCCGTTTGCCCCAACACAAACATGTCAATTCCACACCCGAGGCTGCGGGGCTGCATTTGACTCGGGGCTTCACCCGATTTCCTCTGCAGTTTCATGATCCTCAAAAACCAGGATCACGAAACTGCAGAGGAAATCGGGCGAAGCCCTGAGTCAAAATGCAGCCCTGGAGCTTCGGGTGTGAAATTGACATGTTTGTGTCGGGGCAAAAGGCGCTGTGCTGCGAAGCAGCTCTAGTGAGAAATCGCCCCATATATATCTCGTTTCTCTGGCCATGGGCTCTTTATACTGGGCTTCTACACATGCACACAGTTAAAGCGTGAAATGCCCCTCCAAGCCTGCATTTATAGACTGTGATAAATGCATTATTTTAATAATGTTTAAATTCAGCATCCTGCTGGTTAAACGGAGTTAGTTGTGCATCCGCGGTGGAGCTGTATGCGTGGAATTAATTACTGTCAGTTGGCAAGTGGCTGTCTTAAAAGGAAGGCAGCCTCCCACTGGTTAGGAGGGAAACATTTTAAAGTCTACATCTGCAATTAATGCTCACGGTGTATAAAATGCCCCATTCTGCAATCCGTTGAAGGAAGGATTAAACATAGTTAGGGACTGTGCACGCCTTATGCGAGTGCCATACTGAGATAATCCCTCTGATTTAAATCCTTTACACATGTTGTGGATTTAAGCAGCTCTCAGTGTAAACCTGGGATTTGATACTGGGTTTTGTTGTTGATTTATTGCTATTTGTGTTTAACTGCCGGTGTGAATGAACACGCAGTCTCCCCAGGTTTGAACTCGAGCCAAGTGGGTTCTTTATTGGTTTCTTGAGCTAAAATGGGGGCGTCGGACTTTTAGTAATGCCCTAGTAAGCTATGGTTCTTCCTTGTAGAAACCTTAGGTTATTTGTACCTGGGTGAGGAGTTCTTGTACTGGTCCGTAACAGCTTCGATTGATTGGTTCCCAATGTGGACCCCAAGGGGCTTGCAATTTCATTCTCTCTGCCTCCATTTTACTTTCACAACATCCAAGTAGTAAGACGAGTTAGGCTGAAAGAGAGAGACTGGCCAGTAGTCACTCAGAGAACTTCCATGGCAGAGTGGGTATTGAACCCTGGGTCTTCACTACACCACAGTTATTTATTCTCTGCATAGGTAGGCCTGCTCTGACCTAGGTCGTCCAGGCTAGCCTGATCTCGTCACATCTTGGAAGCTAAGCAGGGTCGACCCTGGTCAATATTTAGAAGGGAGACCAACAAGGAGTACCAGGGTCATGGCACTGAGGCAGGCAATGGCAAACTACCTCTGAATATCTTTTGCCTTGAAAAACACATGGGGTCACCATATGTCGTCTGTGACTTGACGCCAAGAGCAAGACCTATAACGTTACTTACGTGGCACCCTTATACGCTCTGGCTGCCAAGAAAATACATGCAAA